TTTCCCTCTTCCACTTCAGCACAAGAAAGCCATTAAGCCAGACAGGTGGAGTATGAATTTTTGAAGAGAGCAACACAACCTACAGAAGAATTTTGAGACTGGCCTGAGCAACCGCTGGGTGCAGTGAAAGTCCATCTCCAAAGGAGGACTCCCCACATATCAGAACTGTTTACTCAAAATACCAGCACTGCCAATACTGAGTCATTTGAAATTCTGATCATGGTGAAAAACTGTTGGGACAGCACAGACTGTGGCAGCACGCCCCAAAAAAAACTGGCAATACATTAGTGCATATGGATGCCATTTTGGCAAATTGTATTTGCCGTTTCTGAGAAATCCTGGTAACCAGCCAGGTGTAACATAATAAAACAGCTGTGCTACAGTTACTGTTTCATAATCTTACATACTGCTAGTAATATTAAGAAGCCTGCTCTCAACTTGAAGGAAGACATCCACCCCTCCAAACACCACAAAAGGACAAACTAGGACAAACCCAACTTTGTCTATTTACACAACGCAAGATTTCACTAATACTTCACATGCTGCATTTAAACCAGTTATAGCTACAAATACATCAAAGTTTTATAAAACATTCCAAAGGACTTGCAATGCTTTTGTTCAAATCTACTTTAATACTTCATGTGATGCACATATTTAGCCTTCCAAAATTCATTATTAAAAAAAAATCACTGAAATTAATTAAACCTTTCTTCAACACAAACAAAAAATAATTTCACACTTCTGACATCTGTTCTCCACCTCTCATAGGTCAGAGTCAAAGTATTCAACCTCACATCAGAAAAGAAGTACCAAAATATTCTGTCACAGAGCCTTGAAACAAGGGCATAACAACAAAACTACGACTGGCAGAACAGCTCCTACACATACACAGAAATGTGTCTTCATAATATTAGTATTTATATCCATTTGAACAGATTTTATTACAATTTCAGTAAGTCAGACACAGCTCACAGGCAATTAGCCAACACCCTGATGGAACACATTTTTGCCTTCTCAACAGGCAGAACAAAATATACTTCTGTTGTCACCAGATGCAGTGAGCTCCTGTATCAAAACATAAGAGGAAAACAAATAAATTTGTTATTAACACTAGATGTGTGGATTAGGAAAGCAATGCCCAAGCAAGCTACATTGGGTACTGCAACCACAGCAGCTATGGCAACTTGAATAAAATGCCCCTCTCCCAAATTCAGAATCTCAATTTTTAACAGAAAATTTTAGCAGTGGTCTATCTTGCTTTCAGAACAACAACAAAAAAAGTGTAAAACGCCCAATAAAATTTAACAGGTTAGAGTTACAGTTACATTCGTTTATCAGCTTTAAAAAGCCTCAGTCAATAAACTCAGAATAACTTTGCCAATATAATTTCCACACATTTTGCTCAGTGAAGTATTTACCAGCATTTCCTCAAGTAAAATACTCCTTTTCTTGAAATGTGCTGCATGTACCCAGCCTTCCCCCCCCCCTTTCTTTCTTCTGGCTGAAACCCTACTCCCCATTAATTCTAAATTAAGTATATGTACATTGGCATTAAGAAATCGATGCTGAAATATTACCTGGAACAAATAATAAGCTGTAAGAAAGAAATATGAACAGAAAGCCAGGAAGCTGAGGATAAACTACAACAGGGATATGAAATGTGCCCACTTTTTCTCCCCCAGCCAGCATGTGGAAGTCGGATCAACAGAACGATATTGTATAGTCAATTTGCCACTACCTGGGGGAGAAGTACGGGAAGACAGCTTATACCAGGCAAAGGAAAATATCCCATTAGCACATAGACTACAGGGGGCCTGGGCCAGCCAAACTCAGGCTGACTTCAGCTCAGCTATTTAGGTGGATCTACATTGCACTCATTACTTCTCCCGGAGGGCTGTTTTGAGGGTTGGAAGAGACTGCTTCAACTCTTACCCCATGCAAAAACTGAAAAGCAGCTTATGGTGTGTATCAGAGGGATTTCCTCCCACCTCCATTCCCGCTTCAGCCCTGGGTGCCTTCAAATCTCAGTTGCCTCAAATGTTTCTAACCCTTCAGACTTCTTGCATCATGTAGCCCATTCCCAGATCAGCTCTTTTCCACTCCACCCTTTCCCCACCCCAGGTCAGGCACTACTTTGGTAACCCTTGCCTAACAAACCCACCACAAACCCACTGCTGTTGTATAAAGCAGCATAAACTAAAAATTGTCTCATGTTTTAATCACAGTGAATAATGGAAATAATCACGCATAGCAAACATACTGCATTAGTTCCTCCTTATCTCCCAAAGGAAAAATATTTTTTCAAAATTTGAGAAAACAGTCCTAAGATTCCAAGACAGAACAAGCATCAGAGTAACAGAAATAAATCTCCTAATAATAAATACTCTATTTCATCACCCATCAAAACTTAAAAATATTAATTTCCCTATTTAACTATTATGAGCTGAAAGTAAAGACAAACACTCCTCCCTGTTCCTGGCTTTTCATAGCCAGAAACAAAGTCAAAAAGGGGAGCAAAAAGCCTACAGCATTCCTACAACCACTTGCTAGGAGGTGGTTCTAGTACTGGAACACTCAGAAAAGCTCACCAGAGACAACTAAAGGTAGACATTTAAAGCAGATTAGATAAAGTGCACTAAATACCTCTGCCAATACTCTTACTCAGAATAGATACACTTAACACAGAATTAAAGTAGCCTTTGTTTAATTAAGTAAATTAATATTTGTAAGCAACTTAAATTCACCTGAATTCCAGATTAGCTTTTCCACACACAAGTTTAATGCAATTTAATTAATCTATTTTAAAACATTAATTCAAAATAATTCTTCTGAGCCGTCCCTTGTAAACAAACCTATTTACTGAAATATCTGATGGCTTTACAAAGTCACAGGGCATCATTCCAAAGTGTATAATCAAAAACATCCAATACCTTGTTAACACATAAAAACATGCACAAAACGTAAGTCTTCTCTCCCCTACTAATTAGTGAGGACAAACACTATATTTAAAAAAACACACACCAACATTTTCCAACGCTCTAGTCTACTTAAGAGTGTTTAATCGAACTTCTCTTATTTGCACAGCTAATCACTCCCCTGGCTAGTATTTCTCAGTGCTACTGACAAATGAAAAAAGCTTGTCTCGTACTTCGGCTTGCACTATGACAAAAATTTACTTCTGATTGTGTGAAAAAAGCTGAAGGACACCATTTTACTTTGCCCAAACCAAAAGCCCCAAATGTTTTTCCTCTTCTTCGTTTCACTTTTCCTTTAAATCAATTAAGGTCAATTTTCAAGTACATCATTTCTGTTACAAATATATATTCTTCTTTATAAAACCACTATTAGCCAATCAGCCCATTTTTCTGAGCCTAATATCCACCACAAATGGGACCAACAAAGGTCCTTATCTTGCAAAGAGCTATGATTTGCTGACACTTACAAAACTTTCCTGAAACAGCAACCCAGGTGGATTACAAAGGCAAACCTAATGGTAAAAGTGTATTTGATACATGCATGTAAATGTACTAATCCTCTGCGAGGACAACTTTGTGCAGAAGTAAAATGACCTTATGCTGTAAAGGGATTATAGCGTAAAGATCATCCACCCTCTGAAAGTGAAGACCCATAGAGAACATAATACTCATTAACTCTACTGCTTTAGTTAAGTCAGTTCAACTTCCTCGAGTCTTGTCTCTTCAGGGAAGCAGCCCATGAGGACCACTGAGCTTTAAATCTCTGTGCAAGGAATAATCCACACCAAGAATGCCTTTGTGCAGCTCAGTCAAATCCACTCTGGAAGCAAATTATGCAGAACCAGCAAAAAGGCACTCCAAGTACA